ATTTATAACTAGGTTGAAAGCTGCCCTGCCGTAACTGTTGAAGGACACGTACTTGCTCTGAGTTGGTGGTCGCATCAGCCCTGGATAGTGTTATTCAGATTTATTTTTTTTATAATGCCTAGCTGCTTTTTAAAGGACATATGTTTGTTATTTAGTGGTGGCACACATGTAGAAAATGCAAAACTAGTTATTAGTAAGCTTGGACAACATCAATAATGCTGTCAAAAACAAACTGAGTGATAATTGGAATATAATGATACTGATGCTTAGTACTCTAGCTGGAGTGGTTTTACTTGGAGAGCCAAACTGCTTTAGAAGGGTGAATTGTTCATTAGCAGGCATCTGAAATTGCTAGTCCATTGGGCCTGGTTCTTACATTATTCAGAAACTGTGTTTTACCAAGTTTCCATATAGTTTTTAGTCAAAATAGAGAATCATGCATGTAGTTTCTTCAGTGTGTCCAATATCTTCCTTCAATCTCGAGTCACATGTAGGGATGTGAATAGCAGAAAACATAGCAATATATACAAGATGCTTCACAAAACATGAGTCTGGATATAGAACTACTGTGTAGCCTGTTCCTCCATTGTCTAAGAAAATATCTGTGCTAAAAGTCGTTATTATATGAATACTCTTCTTTAAGGACTGTGTTGGCCATTGCTGGAGAAGACTTTTCTATTGTTGCCTCTGACACACGACTGAGTGAAGGTTATGCAATTCACTGCCGGGACAGCCCAAAATGCTATAAACTGTAAGTCCAGCTCTTGTACGAATTGAAACAGATGAAAAGATCTTTTGCATCTCTGAGCATGTCACGTGCCTGGAATGATCTCTTGCTTTCTTTAAGAAGAATTAAAAAAAAAAAAAAGAGTAGTACCAAAATTGATTTTGGAGTCACGATGACTCTTGCCGTAATGCAAGATGTGATGTGATGTTGCAGACAGAGCTAGATTTCTTGTTGTAAGTTCCTGAAGTTAGGTGAAAACAGAATAATTTTAGCATGGTATAAAGGCTAATTAACTAGGTGGGGTGTTTTTTGTCTGGATAATTAGAAGAACTTTTTTCATAACTGTAGCAAAACTTGATCTTACAGTAACTCATTCTACTTTGTTGGAGACACCTCGTGTTGGTACAGGAGTGTGCCCACTGCTGCCAGCTGTGCTGAGTCTCTAGTCAACCATCTGGCACTTCGAAGAGGTGTTTGTTTTGGGTGGGGTAATCCTGTTACTGAACTTCTCATGCTCTTTTTATGCTAGACAGCATCTCCTAGATAGCATCCCCTTGCTGTTAAGAATGCATGGCACAAGCGATGTGTAAGTGTTGTACAGCCTTAGCACAGTCCTCTGGTTGACTGGAGTAAAACTGAGCTGAGTAATATGGTGGAACAGATCCCCATCTCAAAACAGATCCACTAGCAAGACGGAGTGGTAGTAGCTAGAGCTAGGAGTGCGTGAAGAAATGAAGAATTTCTTCCCATCAGTCTTGCTGTAGAAGTCAGTGGCTTGAGGAGTGACATCTGCGTGGCCCTTAACAAGTCCTCCCCAAGGTGTAGGTTGCAGTTGCCTTTTTTTACATAAAATATCTGTGGCTACGTTTTAGACAGCTAGAGAAAGGGAACATACATTTCTTTTGGTAACAATCTGCTGTGTAAGAAGTTGGTATAGTTCACGCAAAATTCAAAATCACAACAAAATTTTATGTCTTACAGAACAGAAAAAACGGTCATTGGATGTACTGGCTTCCACGGTGACTGCCTTACCCTTACTAAAATTATTGAAGCAAGATTAAAGGTAGCTAATTATCTTATTGTATTTAGAAACTTAGAGTCTTAGTATCATGTTTAAGACTAGTAATATGGTATGTTTTTACCATTTTTTGCTGATTTTCTTCAAGTGTTTCTATTATAACTGTATTACTAGTGACAGATCAGGCAGGGGAAATTGCAGTTGTGTTCTTAAGAAGTGTAACATCACAAACTTAAAGAATGGAAGAGCTGGAGAGGGTAGTTTTGAGGAGTATCTGTAATCTGTTCTGTGCAAAACTTCAGAGAAACGTTATTTTTTGGTTTGTAGCAAGGCTTTACTTTTAGACCAGTGAGTGTTCAGTAATCACCCCAGTTAATAATAATCTTGCTTAGCCTCAGAATCTTCTGTAGAGAGGTTACAGAAAATGTAATTCTTAACGAGTGTAAAACATAGTGTTTGACTTTCTTTTCGGTTGTGCTGTGCCACTTGCAGATGTACAAGCATTCCAATAACAAGACCATGACTACCGGGGCTATCGCAGCCATGCTGTCTACAATTCTATATTCTCGACGCTTATTTCTCTACTATGTTTACAACATAATTGGCGGACTTGATGAAGAGGGTAAGACTTTGACCAGAAAAGAAAGAGGCTGAATTTCTGTGGGTAAATCCTTTTACACCTCGGATGTACTGATGAAATAGCAAAGTTTGTGTTCCTATTCCTAACTCCTACCTTCAGGCATTACGGTACTTACACAGGTCAGGTGCATATTATGCATCCGACTTACCTCCTACTTTCCACAACTAACTAGATCCCATTTCTGTAGGTCTGAAAGTCTGAAAATGGTGTTACAATTATTTGATTACATGTGAAATCTGCTAACATTGCTTACCTCTCCTACTTTACTCTAGACTGGAACACTTTATAACAGCTTTGCTGGCTTAATTAATAGTGTGTTTAAAGGAGTTGTTAGCAGTAAAATTGTATATATTTTACTCAGGCCTGCAAGTATTGTAGTCATTATTAAATAGGAAGATTTACTCCAGAGACAGTTTTCTGCAAACTTATTTTAAAATGTTAACTGATCTCTAATGAAAATTGTGACTTCTCATGCATGCTGTAATTAAATGTGTAGCCCTCTCAGGACTTACTGGGCTCTTGTCCAGTGATTTTCTTGAGTTACTAAAATACTGTATTTTCTGGCTTTGAGCAGGAGCTCAGAGGTGGTATTGTTTGGATAATTTCAGCCTTTCCCTGCAGTTCATTGTTGTAATGAAGTTACATTTGCTAAGACATGTCTACAATATGACGGACTCTGGAAAGAGATTAGTCTGCCCTGGGTAGTGATAAAAATCAGATTTTGAGGGTGCTGTATCAATTGATAGAATCAAGAGTGCAGATTTGTGTGCATGGGATTAATTTGGGTCCAGCAAGATTGATTTGGTGTCACTTTCTGGATCCCTGCTAGCCTTCTCTGGGCTGTTCAGCTGCCTGTGCTGCACTGCCCTGTGCATTGGCCAGCTTATTAAATTGGGCGCAGCCTGTCCGAGCGGAGAGGCTGAGCTGGGCCAGGGGCCTCTTTCTGACTGGCACGTCCTCACGAAAACCTGATGCTCCAGAGCTGCAGCACATCTGCACCCCCGTGGTTGGCACAGGGTAATAACAAGCTTTGCACAGCCTGGCCTAACTCCAGAGACAAGCGTGCATAGGACCAGAGCATCGTCCCCGTTTGCAGACAGGCGATGCAGAGGCATCCAAGCCTGCTCTCTAGAGATAATTCAAGAACAGTATCGTTCAAAAAGAATGACTAAACTGCCTCCTGGTGCTAGCTTTAGGACCTTAGTGCTGTGCTCTAGCACGTTGTCCTGATTTGATTATTCCGTGTCAGCACTTTTCCTTGTGGTAAGGGCTGCAGTAAACGTCTGTTAAGAGCATGGGTATAGCTTAAATACTGAAAATAACCTTGCATGTTGTTGCAGGCTCCAGCTGTAGTGAGACTACTGTACAAGGCACTGTCCAAACGTGCTGCGGTGTTCCTTGGTGGAAGTGTGTTGGGATTGGCAGCGCTCCAGAGACTGCTTATGGGGAGAGCTATTGATTACCAATATTGAGAATCTTTCTGGATTGTGGTTACGTACTTCTTTTTTTTCCCCCCTCAGGGAAGGGAGCAGTATATAGCTTTGATCCAGTGGGCTCGTACCAGAGAGATCCTTACATAGCAGGTGGATCAGCAAGTGCCATGCTACAACCCTTGCTTGATAACCAGGTAAAATAGTTTACTTTTTTTTTTTTTTCCTCCTGACATTCAAATTAATGTCGCTTTATCTTTGGGGAATACGACTTTTGAGAGAAATTTAGATGTACTAAAGGAAGGCCTGTTATTCCGTGCATTTATAAATTATGTAGCTTGACCTTCTAATGAGAAATCAAAGTTTTGCTTTATAATCTATTCAGGTGTTTAATACGCTACAAACAGTGGACTGCCTGTTTAAAATACAGGTAAATGTTTTAACTGGGGAGTTATGTTTCACTTAGAAGCTGTTCAGGGTTTTTTTCTGCTTTCTTTTTCCCCCTAGCTGGTAACATAAATATGCCTGCTACTTAGCATGGAACAATACTAAATTAAGAAGATAGAATAATTAGATGTGTATAATACATTTCATCAATTAACATACAGTTGCTTAAAAGTCTTCTGTACAACTGGGACACCATTTTCTAAGAATGTTCTTACGTAGAACTGCTGGATATTTACTAAATTAAATCATCTAAAAATACTTGAAGAATATTTTCATATTTAATTGAAGCTATTAATTGTTGAGAGAGGGAAATACTGAAGTATGTTTTACTCATTCTCTGACATTGGTGTTGGTATTTAGTCAGTTGAGCCTGATGTCAGGACAAGCTTTGTGCTTAGAAAAGCAGTAAGTGCTCTTAGTACTTATCAGCTTGGGAAGGAGTAGGATCTTTCCTTCTTTTTTTTTTTTTTTTTTTTCCAACAACTCCCAAGTTCTCAGCTTTGAGTTACTTTTGAACTTTATTAACTGAAAAAAAAATCCTCTGTAGAAACAAAATTATTGTCAGTAGCTTTTTATTGCTTATGAGCTTGAGGCAAAGTAAGTGATTCTTCCCCTCCTTTTCCTTTTCTTAAGTGGACACGGAAGTTTATCAGCTAAAATGCACTATTTAATAGGACTGGTTTTGCTCCACCATAGACTGTTACTTTTTGAATTCTACGTACGTTGAGGAATATTTGCTTTGAAGAAATGTCTCTAACTACAAATGACTAGGAAGAAGGCTGATGTGCGGTTCTGATACTGCTAATGCAGTGAGACGTTTCTGAAGAACTGGATCAGTTCACATCCAAATGGTCACTGTTATGTTGTGGTGGCTCTAGGCTGGTTCTGCCTCTAGTTACTTTCGTAAGAGTTTTGGCATTAGCAAAGTCCTGATCACGCAGCTGTAAACTGTGTGGAGGAACCCTTTTGCCAGCTTTGGGTTTCTAAACCAGACCAACAAGTTCATTTTTTTTGTTTTTTTCTAAATCTGCTAATTCTAGTGCAGAGACTGAAACAGCTTTCGTACTGAATGGATCATACTTCCTTTAAAATGCATTTTCATCTTCCCTTAGATTGGCTTCAAGAACATGCAAAATGTGGAGCATGTACCTCTGACCCTGGAAAAGGCATTGCAGCTGGTTAAGGATGTCTTTATTTCTGCTGCTGAGAGAGATGTGTACACTGGGGATGCGCTTAAGATTTGCATTGTCACAAAAGATGGAATTAAAGAGGAAACTATCCCGTTAAGAAGAGACTAATTCCATTCACTTATAAACACCTAATCTATGATGTACAATTTACCTGTATTATGAAGACATTTGTCTCATTAAATTTTTTCAAGAAGTTTGACTACTGTAGTGCTGAATATTTTCTGTCTTTGCTAGATGTTATTGTTTTCTAGAAACCAGAGCAGTTCATGCTGAAGAAGCAGCTAAGAGTTACAAGTCAGTTTCATTCACCTCATCTTAATGTAGTGATCAATATAATTCTGATACCAGTTTAATCAATCCCTTTCTCACAGTCCCTTATGCTACAACATGGGGAAGTTTAAACTCATTAAAGTTTAGATCTGCAGACTTTTCTGATAATGTTTTCAGTGCAGCCTTGGCTTAGTGAGAAACTTTCCCTGTCCTCTTCATCTCTCTGACACACTGTGTTGACATTTGACCTCCCTCTTTTTATTTACAGAGACTATAAATACGAGTCACCTGAAACCAATTTCCTTGTGTAATAATGTTAAATGGAACATTTAGACATTCAGAGTTTAGTCTTGGACTCTGCATCTGGGCTCATCTTTACGTGTTTCTGTTTGGTTAACGCCCAGAATCTGAAGCACCATCCTTTTCTGGCTACTGATGGAAAATGACTTAGTAGGGAGGTTCCTGAATGCTTTTTAATGTCCGAGGGCTTTTAGTTCTTGAGAAATTGCATCAAGTGTAGACCATTTGTGCTGCGTGCTGTCTTGCACTCCTGGAAATTGGCTTGAGTACTTAGGGCCTTTGGAAAAGCAAAGCTGCATCATCAAGGGCAAAGTAATCTGCCCAGGAATCCTCTCACGATCTGCAACTCCTTAGAATAGGGCATATGAAGTACCTTGTTGCTTGAGATGACCTGCTTGTATTTTAGAGGAATGTTTTTGCAGATGTGCTTGACCCCTGCAGGAATGTCGTCTCCCTTAGGATACAGCTTCTGTGCCACGTTACAGGTGCTGTGCATTTTTCCTAACTCTGGCCAGGCTTCACCAGCGACAGTAATCTTGGACTTTAAACAGATGCTTTAAATAGCAGGCAGCATTTTGAACCTCGCTTTTCAAACAGCTGGTTGCATTTAGGTTGACTCCAGCTGTATTTAGGAAATCCAGAGCAGCCCTTTCCCAAAGTGTTCATGGAAACACTTGACCGCTGGGTGCCACTGTTGGGCAGAGTGAGGAGAGAACACCTCAACCCTGGGCGCTTGGCAGTAAGAAAGGCAGACAGCATCTTGCTCTGAAGGGCACAGCTTCCAGGTACGTTCACATAACTTAACGGGGCGTTTAACATTATTTGCAAAATGAATGGACAAGATTGGTTCCCCACCTGACTGTGTAGCTGTGTGCTATTCTGTACTGAGCAAACCATGCGGTGCAATAATTCCTGAGAACAGAAAGCTTGTGTCTATAGCAGCGATGCCAAATTAAGTACATGCTATGTTACTACTATAAAATTCAATTAAAGCACTTTAAACTCGGCCATTTTTTGGTACCGGATTTCTGCTGAATTGCTCGAGTGTTTCACAATGGGTTGTTCTATGCAAAGTTGAGTGAAGCCTAGTGAAGCTAAATAGTATTTAAGTTGTGAAGAAAAGCAGCTGAGGGTAACAAGTTGACATGCCTGCCTTTGGGACAGTTCTTTTTGCAATGTGTGGGATCTAAGCAGTGAAGGGAAGGGCAACAAAAGAGGGGAATGATATATTTTGTATCTGAATTAGTTTAGTGTTCTTAAAGGACACCAAATATGTAGCAACGTTGCAGTGATTCAGTTAAAAAAAATGGTAATTTTGGATGCTTTTCAATTTAAGGGTAAATTTTATATCCGAAATAAATGCATGTCCAACATTGTAGGAATAACTTGGTTTAGTTTGAGGCACCTAGGCTTGTCTCCAAGTTGCTTTAGAAGGAATAGGAGGTGCTTAAAATGTTGAAGGTCTTGTTTGCAATCTCAGAGGAGATACAACAGCAAGTACCAGGGGTGCACCTTTTCACACCACTGAGCGTCCGTGCTGTCCTGATGGAGCCCCCGTGCAGATGAGGTGCCTGTTCTGTGTCCTTTTCAGTCTTACCTATCCCTGTGGAATACATCTGGCTGAAGAACCAGCAGGGGATGGAAGAAGCTTTTTTCAGAGGCTCAGTTTCTTTTACAGAAGAAGGCAGCACTGCATTTGTTCCCGCTGTGAGTGAGTTTGGAACCGGTGGTGTGGGAAGTTTTGTTTCTCTGTTTGTTTTTAACTTCCCGGTTATGCCCTGCCCTGATGCCATCACTGCTCATGCTCATAGCTGGGAGTCACAGGAGTGACAGATGTTCATGGGCTGCTCAGCTAGAAGTTAACTGCTTGCTTATTAGTATTAAAACACACTTGAAAATCACAGATATATAGATGTGTCCTACAGATAAAAGGTACCAAGATGTTGGTTTTGTGGTGTTCTGCTGTTGTTTTTTTAATCCACCAAGTTACTTAGCTTTGTTTGGGAAAATTGTCACGGAATAGAATTATAGAATTGTTTAGGTTTGGAAAATCATCACCTAGGGCTGGAAGGCAGGAATGTCCTGGCCGTCAGTAACTCTCCTCAGTTCTGTCCCTGTACTTCCCATGTGTAAACCAGGTTGGTAGTCATCTTGCACTGTGTCTGCAATGTTGATTAATAGTTCACGAAGCACTTTTGAGCATTATCTGGGTACAAAACTGTCTAGGCAGGTAGGCTACGGAGGTACAGCTGCACAAAAAAAAAAATGCAACGATACCATGTAGGGCTGCTAGAAGCAGAGGTCTCTGGGTTTGGCAGATTCTACTCGGCCAGGGAGTAGATAGCTTTGACACAATTTTCCATAAGAGAAAGGAGAGAGAGAGAAGGGGGGGAAAGTTTGTATCTTGCAACACCTTTTCTCAACATTAACCATGTTATGTGTGTCTTTTTCAAAAGAGAGCTGGGCTGCAGGGCTTGACTAATCTTGGAGCGAGCACTTCTGACCTCACCGAAGCTTTTGACACTGAGCAGAAGAGGCCTGTGGCAGATCTTGGAACGATTAGGATGTCCTCCCAAGTTCCTCAGAATAATTATCCTGTTACACGAGGATCAGCGCAGCCAAGTCAGATACGGTGATGCACTCTCTGAGCCCTTCTTCCGTGTTTTTCTAGAACTTGCCGGTGGCCGAGTGCATGGCAGGAGCAGCACCAGCAGCCAGCACTGACTTCATCTGTGGCAATAGCGAGGACCACCTCAAGATGGCAATAGTTCGTTGCTATCGGAGGCTTCAACAGAGTTACACACCATGTGGGTAAAAATAGTCATCATACACGCTTAACCAGTTTCCCATTCTAACGTGCTTTGCGGTGCTGTTTATTGAGGAGATGGGAGGCTTTGTTTTGATCTCGGCCAAAAGTCAGCCTAACGTTGCTTATATAAGGGACTGTACAAGATCAGAATTGGCCTTAAAAAACAGTAAAGTAGACCTTGCTTGATGTTTGGACACGCTTTCAGCAATATTGTTTATACATCAAATCTATTTTGTGTACGGGGGAAGGCTTTTCTTACTATGGAAGGTGAAAGCGCTTACCAGGACATAAATGTTGCATATATGCCTCTAAAAATTTAGTTCACTATGTCCTTTACTATATCAGTCAAGGATAAGTTTAATATTCCTTTAACTAAACTCAAGACTTTCTTAAGGCTGAATCATAAAAATGTTCTTTTATAAAGCAAATACTGAGCTTTCTCACGCTTGGATGACATTTTTCCTTTTACAATGAGATATGCTTGTAACAGTACATATGCTTTGGCATGATGAGAGTCAGGAGCAGGCTGCTTCTATTTTATATATGCCATTTCCTAGAGAAAACCATTTAAATGGAAATTATAAAACAGTATTTGAAGCATAGCAGTTTGAAGTAGTCCTACTGCAGCTTACTCCTTCACATAATTTATTTACTTAAGAGACAAAGATGTAATTTCCCAGACCTGAAAACTTCTTTTTTTTTTTTTTTAAATACCCTGGAATCATCCATCCTGGAAAGGAAAGCTGCCTTGGTCAGTGATCTCAGTTTAGTGATACAGGTTTTTACAAACGTAAGCTTGAGGAGAAGTGGCAGGAGCAAGTGGGGAATGATTAAAACAGTATTTGTGTGAGTCTGAGCAAAATAAGCTACTCCTATTTCTCTCCAGTCTCATAGAAGATAGTTGTAGGAGCATGAAGTATTTGCTGCGTTGTTCAGGGTTTCCTGGTCTAAAGTCAGGAACCACCTTTTGAGTAGAAGGGATTTGGAAATGAAAGCTTTCAAATTCCTCTTTCTCTTTCTTTCAGCCATTGCTTTTGTTTAGTATGAATGTCCTTTGCTTTTAGGCCATTTGGGGCAGTCATAAACCAGACAATATGGCACATGGACCTGAAGTTAAGATTTGTCTCCAGATCTGCCTTGCCAAGCCAAATTCCTTTTGAGAAGGGGTTTTGTCTGTGTGTGAGTGCAACTGAGTGAGACCAATCTTACATTCGTTCAACTCTAACATGTAGTTGGTTTAATTGTATGGACCATTTTATGTACCATTTCAACCAAGTATTGATAATTACAAAAGCATGGTTTAGCAGAAAAACAAACAAAAAACTCCTCCATATCTTTTCTGTTAGGCTGTTCTTGGCCCTTATGCTAACAGCTGCTGGCAAAGTTCAACTTCACTGTTCACTTGAGAGGTGCAAGTGGGGGGAGGGATGGACGTCACTGCAGCCTACAATAATTAATATTCTTTGGCACAAGACGTGCATCAAAGGGCTACTGGCAAGACAGTAGTCATGGCACCAAAAAATTCAGCCAGTCCTTTGCACTTTAGATCACAGAACCATAAAAGGAAAGTTAAAAACCAGGATTCCTGTTTTTTCTGAGGAAGAGGAAGAAGATGCAGAAGACTGCAAGTTGTACTGCAGTGTCAGAGATACTTCATAGTTGGGGTAAAGTGCTTTTGGCTTACCTGAGGCCTGACTTGTCTGAAATGTAGATATTTCCATTGCTTAGCTTTCTCTAGCCACACGAGCTTGGTGATCTCCTTGGTGGTTCTACAAGAAGTCACTGATGTGCCGATTCACTGAGGTGTGGGGACGGGA